CTAAACAGTAATATTGTCATCAAGTTCACTACTCGACATTATAATTTTTTAATAATTTAGATTCTCAAAATTCGGACACACACATATAATTTTACATAGTTAAATACATAACGAAACATAATAATTCCATAAAAATATATATTGAGTCCAAAAAATTTACAAAAAATATATAAAAATTTAAAATATTATAAGAATAATTATGTTAAAATTTGGTGAATTTTTGATTAAAGAAAACAGTACACTCTCCCTTATTATAAAAAAAATGAAATAATTTCATAATATATATATATGTGTGTGTGTGTTATGTAGCGAGAAAAATTATAACAAATATACCAAAAATTCACAAATATTCCAAGGATCAGACTATTAAAATTTTGTGAATTTTGGCTTAAAAATGAGTGCACACATTTCCTCACTCTACTCACGCCACAAGTGAGATTTGTATAACAGACCCAAATGAGTCTTCTTTTTCTTTTAGCGGTCGACCCGTTTCTAACTCAAGGAAAGGTCTAACCCACACAACTTATGAAGAACACAAATGCTTCAACAGTCAAGCTCTTAAATAATTAAATATCGTTATACAAAAAAAAAATTAATAATTAAATATCAAATATAGTCACCAATATTTAAATAGTATTGTAACTGCTGATGTGTTTCAAAATTAAAAATTAATGCATTCAAGACCAACATATGCAATGCATTTAAACAATATTTCAAATGCTCTTAAAAGCCATCAACTATTAACCATCAAAGACATGCATTTAACAAGAGCAAACACTGAATCCTCCTAAATTTCGAAAAAGGACACGAAGCATGAAACCATAAAATTACGATTCATTGCCTTTTTCGGTTACACTTAGTTTACGAATTTATTTACTGCGAAAAGAAAACATGTTGCTCTCCATCACTGTTTCGATTACGAGAAAGATAACACAATAAAACAATGAACTATATGTGTTTAAACTTGAAATTCTAAACACAGACCGAAACGAAAATCACAGGCAAAACTATGGTCTAAGTTGAAAACCAATATTGATGCACGAATATCAAAAAATTGATAATATATATTTCAAACCAATTTGGAAATTGTAACTGTGCTTCCAATTGCAAATTCTATTAAAAAATCTAGCACGACAATCGATCGAGAAAATACAATGATAAGCATTAACAAATTTCAAATGCCAAAAGAGTAATATTTATACATGTATAGACGATAATCAACGAATAGGTAGTTGAAATGAATTTGATGGTTAATATTTAAGCATAAAAACTGAGGAACAATTCCAATTCAAGAAATATAAACCAAAATGAACGCGTAATAAAGAACACAATTAAAAATTGGTTTTCCAAGACTAATATCTAAAACACGGTTATTGAGACAAAACTTGCAGGCGCGCAAAAACAAAATTACTAAGTGAAATGGACAATGAATACAACAACAAGGTTATGGTTATCAAATCACAACAATCGAGAAGAATTTTGGTGTAAATTTTTGTGAACCGTAAAATTTGAGAATAGAAATTCTCTTCCAATATTCCAATGGTAGCATCTTGACATTTAGAACAAAATCCCTAAAATTCTCAATTCAATAGAAAAAAATGGATTCTATAATCATATACATATGACTCTCATACCAAATGAAAAATTTATTAAACCTAGATCATGTATATGATTATAAAATATTCAAATAATATGAAATCAAAATATGAGATTATGAGTACCTTATTGGGTTATCACAAAGCCGGAGGAAAGGGAAACTATATGCCAGGATCTTTCTCTCTATGACCTATTTCGAAAGTGGCAGCCTCAGCGATGAGAGCATGACTATTCATGGGGCTTAACCCCAATATAAATAGGTTAGAGAGGGGACCTAGCCAAATATCCTGAAAAGAGTTTGTGTCCACCCATCACGAAAAACTAGGATAACACTAAAGCCTACACTGCTGCCTAACTAGGCCTAATACAAACAGATGCCAAAAGCCCAACTCAACATGATCACAACAGGTTTATCAAAATAATATAATTGAAATATTCATTAACCTGATTAATTTTAAAACAGAAAACTAATTAATTAATATTGCTCACATAAAGAAAATTTTCTAACATAATATGCATAAAATATCTCATAATTGAAGAGAATTTCTTTTATATTAGTAAAAAGTTTAACTATATTATACAATAATACATTGGCATCATCTGATGAGCCCATAATTGAAGAAAATTTGTTGTCATCTAAGCCCATATTGATGGCAAAATACCATATGTTCCCTCATCTGATAAGCAACTTTTGCATTAAAAGCACTTGTTTATATCTTTGTGACAAAAACACAGTAGGGAATAGATGATGATGTAATCATTTTAGAAATATAGAAAAAGGGGAACGGATTGGGAACATTAAATACACCTGCTCCACTAACTCAATCTCTGTACACTTTGCAGTTAACGTTGAAAATAAGCTTCCATAAAGTATAAGCGGTACAACAATCAAGCAGGAAGAAACATGTACAACAGGGAATAAAGAGTTCCTATTGGCTAAGAGGAAAGCAAGGCATGAGGGAATGCAGAAGAAAAGGAAAATCTCAACAATAAGTGTCCCATCCAGCAACTTGCTTCCTTTAGAGCACTGTTCGCACCGCCCCTTTCTTGCAGTCAAGAAAACAACTCAATGTAAATTACAAGTTTTTCCACCCACTCTTCTGCCTATAAATAGGACGTTCCAACATGAAGAAATCATCGAATTCCTTAAGAAGAGATCACTTAATTTTCTTTATAGTTTTTCTTTGTAGTTTTTCTTTGTATAGTTTTAACATTAGTTAAATGACAACAACTTCTTCCCTATTCTGTATCACCCACTTGAGACTCCTCACGAACGAGCAGTAACCATACTTCTCCATTTTCATTTTGTTGTAACCTAACTTCTTTCTGATTAATATACGTGTTATTTCTCTTCTCTTCCACTCGTTATCTCTAAACTGAATCTCGGGTCTCTGGGATTTCAGTTTGGAAGAATTATGTTTAAAGTATTAGCCATGGGCTAAGTTATTTGTGGAATGAAAAAACTGTGAAGTTCTTAAAGAACTATTTTAAAAACTCTTGTACTGAAGCTTTTGTATTTCTCTGATTAAGTGTGCTATATTCATTGCGTGTCAATGGAAATTGAACGCATACTGAGAAAGAAACTTTCATAAGGAAGAGATTTCAGACAGCTTAATCAGAAAGGGAAGGTAGTGTTGTGAAAACAACACTGCTGGTTGCCTTAGGAATAAGGAAGCACCTCGTTCACTGAAGGTCCTGTACTTAGTAACTGTTGGAGTCATAAGAATATGGAAACTTGTGAGCCATTTAGTACATAAGCTGAGGAATCAGAGTTGGCAGTGAAAAGACCTGATCAAATTCAGAAGGGTTAAGTCCTGAGTGGAGAATATAGCTATTTAAGAATGGAACAGAAGATCCGTTCCTTGTGTTAAAAACTGTTTTATCTCTCCCTATTGTTGTCCCTTAACTATTGTTATTGTTATTTTCTTTATTCAATCTTGTATCAACAAATCTCCAATGAATACTGTCGTTCCTTCTCTCATTAAGAAGGATTTCATACATAACGACGCGAGGAGCTGTTTGCTGTCAGATTGAACTTACTATTCTTGAGGAACATTGTCAAGATAGTAGGGAACATTTGACCAAACAGATCAATTACTAACTTTTCTTTTTATTTTCATTCTTTTTAAAATAGTTTAAGGCATTACTTAGAGTACTATCCTCGTGGGAACGATAATCTGGGCACTAATAGTCCTATTTATTACTTGATGCGTGCACTTGCGCACTTGGGTGGAAGTCAAGAGAACAAATGTGTTTTCTTTTGATGCACTGAAGCAAGGGAACGTCCTTTATAAGAATATTTTAAGTACCCAACGAGTTCACACCCTAACATCAATCCTAAAAAAATATGAATTTCGACATGTTGGGACACGTTTTAATATTAAATAATATTTCTAATTTATATAGAGTATATTTCATTTAATATTCAATAATTTAACAAAAAAATGAAACTAAATTGATAATACCTATCATTACATTATAAAGGTGGAAGCTTTAATAAAAAATAGGAACTGGGTTGAGAGAGAGAGATAATATCACAGAGAGAGAGAGAGATCAAATCAGATTAGAGAGAGATCACAGAGAAGGAGACACAACAAGAGCGTAGCAGGAATGACAACGATGGTGCTGAGATGATCTCTTATCTACTTAAGGGGAAAAAAGGGTAAAAAAAACTGATATGATTAGGTGGAAGCTTTATTAATATATTTTAATTTTAAAAAAATAATTCTTTAAAAAAAATATAATATTTCTACGAAAATGTCATTTGACCGTGTCGGAACGTGTTGAAACGTGTCGAACATAGTCAAATTCGCGTGTCAAAATGGTCAACGTGTCGAGAATGTTGACCGCGTGTCAGACACCGTGTCGGAACATGTCGGAGCGTGTCGGCATGTCGAACACGACACTCCCTGTTTTTTGAAGTGTCCGTGCTTCCTTGCTTTTTCTAAATCATCATTTGAAACTACGTTGTTGGTTGCACTGGTCTAGCATCTGGCATACTTCGAACATCCTTTGAAGAAATAGATGATGATTTTATGAGGGTCAAAATAGTATTATGGTTGTCAAACCACCTTTACCGTACTATTTGTTCTGCCCTAATACATGGATGAATCTAGAACTCAAATACTATAAGTTATTAGGGATGAGTTACTGACGAGGGACTTAAGTAATTAATGAGATAATTGATTCAAATACTATTAGTGTCATTAATTATATATGAAAATAAAAATAAATATAAAAACTCGAATAGGATGTGGAGTTTCTGAGACATGCTAGTATCTATTTTATATTGGCTCCAATAATTACATACACAATCACAAAATAAAAGAAGAAAAGAAAAGAAAGAATAAAGACAATAATTTAATTAGTTTGAAGCCAAGAGATAGAGAGAAAGGAGATCTGAGATGGAATCGGAGGAGGATGGCATACGTGGAGCGCATGAGCGAACGGTGGAGGAGGAAGACTCGATCCTGAGAAGTATGAAGAAGCCTAAAGGTGAGACTATGGCTGATGAGAACATGGATGATGAAATGTTAGAAAAGTAGGAAGCTGGTGAAAGTGAAGGCTCCAAATCTTCCGTTCCGGAGAAGGTGGTGTTCATGCAAGAGATTCCTGGGAAGAAGTTTGTCTCTTACAGAGACAAGTTAATCAGGTTAAATGGTGGAGGTAATATATCAGAGAGTGAGGAAGACGATTGGAAAGAGATCCAACGTAGGGAAGAAGAGGAAGATGGAGGTGAGAAGGATCCGATCCAAGGTGCTGAGGATGATCCACTATGTCCATCACTCCAATTTTCTAAAAGCCAACGTAAGGAAGACTGTCGTCAATGGAGGAAGGCCCTAATTATCAAGTTATTGGGGAAAAGGATTGGGGCTCGGTTCCTAATGGCTAGGCTACAGAGGTTATGGAATCTGGTATCAACTTATGAGTTGATTGATCTGGATAATGGCCATCTAATTCTAAGATTCCAGGATGAGGGAGATTATCTGCATGTGCTGCAGGAAGGACCTTGGATCGTGGCTGATCACTATGTTGTGGTCCAGAGATGGCGTCCATTTTTTGACCCTTATGATGAGGGGTTTAAGAAACTGGCGGTATGAATTAGGGTACCTGGGCTCCCTATTGAGTTCTATACTGCTCACTACCTATGGAAGATTGGTAACCTGTTTGGAAGGACTCTTATAGTTGATAAAAATTTCCTTCGCAGAACTGAGCTAGGTGATGATGTCATTACAGAGAGAGCAAAATTTGCTCGAATCTGTGTGGAGGTGGATCTGAGAAGAAGCTTCTTGTCGAAGTTCAAAATTAGGGAGAAAGTATATCAAGTGGGTTATGAAGGCTTGCATTTAATATTCTTTAGGTGTGGCATATATGGGCACAGGAAAGACCAGTGTGTGGACAACCAGCTTAGGGATCAGGGTAAGCAAATGGGGGCTGATTCAGGAAGCCAGAGACCTATGGAAGGTAAAGCAGTTGAAATTGCTAGGGAGAAAGGCAAGAAGGAGGAAGCTTTCGGTAGCTGGATGGTTATTCAGAGAATAAAGATAGGGGGTAAAGCCAAAGCTGTGCCAATGAAAAAGGTGGTTGGTGTGGAAGAGTGTGCTGGAGTTGACAAGGTGAAACAAGTTACTGGAAAAGTGGATACCACTATGGAAGAGGCTAGTACTAGTGTCCCGAATGTTACTATGGCAGATATCAAGGAAGAGGCTAACATGGCCAAGAAACCTATTGATGAGTCTAGTAGGGAGGCTGAGATTAAAGAGGGAAATATAGCTGTTAAAGGAGGCATTCCTGAAATCTCTAGTCCTTGCCATTCTCTAAAGGTTAATAGGTTGGATTCTGGCAGACAGAAGAAAGGTGTCCTTAAGGAGAGCAGGGGTAAAAATATAAGTAGTGGAGTGAAAAATAGTAAAGGTGTGCCTTATGGTCATAAAAAGGGTGAAATGGAGAATCTACCTCCTAATGCGTTGGTGGGTGGTCCTGACTCAGGGAGCAAACAGAGAAGCAAAATTAAAGACTTGTCAGTGGGAAGTGGCAGTCCAGTGGATGAATCTAATCAAGTCAAGATCAAGGGGAAAGGAGTGGTGCTGACTGCTGTGTCAAATGAGGTCATTATGGGCCTGAAGGAACAGGTGCGTGAGCTAAATTCTAACACCCTTAGGGGTGCTAGGAGTCTGAATTACCATTAAATGGTTGTTGTAGTTCCCCTCTGTAAATAAAGTTATGTTTATTTGCTCTTGGAATTGTAAAGGGGTGGGGGAAAAGGAATTCCCTGCCTTAGTCAGAGACATGAGGTATAGGTTTAATTTTAGTATTTTGGCTTTGTTGGAAACTAAAATTAGTGGTAATAGAGGGGACATGTTAATAAAGAAGCTTGGGTTCTCTAGAAATTTCAAAAAATATGTTGTTGGGTTCTCTATGGGTATATGGTTACTCTGGGATGAGAAGAAGGTGAAGGTGGAAATTATTGATGCTCATCATCAATTTATTCACACTAAGGTGATTTACTTGGAAAAGATGAAGTCCGAGTATATCACTTTTGTGTATGGTAGTCCAAGAAGATTGGAGAGACAATCTTTGTGGTTAAGCCTGGAAAGTATTGCTCAGGAGATAGTTGGCCCTTGGTTAGTTTTAGGAGACTTCAATTCAATATTGAATGCTTCTGAAAAGATTGGGGGTAAAGAGGTCAATGAGAGTAGCCTCATTGATATGCAGAGATGCTTAACTAGCTGTGACATTGGGTTTAAAGGTCCAGGTTTTACATGGAAGAGGGGTAAACTCCAGGAAAGACTTGATAGGGCTTGTTCGAATGAGGCTTGGAATCTAAGCTGGCCTAATAGCATCCTATCTCATCTGCCCTATTTTAATTATGACCATAGGCTTATCCTATTAATTCAGGATCAGGTCAACAGGTTGGATGATAAGGATAAACCATTCAGATTTTTAGCTTCCTGAATGACAGTGGAAGGCTTTGAAGATGTGGTGAAGGACAATTGGAGCAACCAGCCTGATTGGAATCATGCTAGGAGTAAATTTGAAAGAAAGGCTAGGAAGTGGCATCTTAATGTTTATAGGCAGAATATCAAAAAGAAAAATAAAATTTATGCCAGACTCAGTGGCATTGACAGTTATCAATTTGGATGGTATGACCATAGTATGGAGATTCTCCAAAAAAAGGTTATGGAGAACTTCAAGAGATTCTGGTGAGGGAAGAATTAGCCTGGTTTCAAAGATCCAGGTGTAATTGGCTTAAGTATGGTGACAAGAATACTAGGTACTTTCATTCATCTACAGTGGCTAGGAGGAGACACAACAGAATTATTGCTCTTAGGAATGATGAGGGAGCCTGGGTAGCTGAGAAGGATGATCTAATCAATATGGCAGTAAAGTACTTTGAGAATATGTTTTCTGCTAATGAGGAGGAGTTGGAAGCTTATCCTGTGAAAGGCTTCTTTCCTGGTCTTAGCACTAAAGAGAAAGAATATATGTCCAGAGTTCCTACTGATGAAGAGATCCGGAGGACTATTTTCCAAATGGGAAAGTTTAAAGCTCCAGGGCTTGATGGGCTTCAGGCAGTCTTTTTCCACTCTCACTGGAGTATAATGGGAAATTCTATTTGTAGCATGATCTCTAAGATTTTCCTGGACCCGAAGAAAGTGGAGGAGGTTAATAAAACTCTAGTGTGCCTTATCCCTAAGAAGAAGAGTCCAGAGTCTATGAAGGACTTTAGACCTATAAGTCTTTGTAATGTAGTTTACAAAACTATTACAAAGATTATAACTGAAAGGCTTAATGGTTTTATGACTCGGTTGGTGGCTCCCACTCAATGTAGTTTTATAAAAGGGAGACAAAGTGTGGATAATATCATCATAGCTCAAGAAGTGGTCCTTTTTATGAGAAAGAAAAAAGGAAATAAGGGGTGGATGATGATGAAAGTGGATTTGGAGAAGGCCTATGATAGGCTTAGCTGGATTTTTATCAAGGAGACCTTGGTAGATATAGGTTTCAGCAACAGTCTTATTGATCTTATTTGCAACTATGTGTCTACTAGCAAATTGAACCTGTTGTGGAATGGTAGCTTAACTAGGGAATTTGAACCAAAAAGGGGTATTAGGCAGGGAGATCCAATATCTCCTTACCTATTTGTGGTATGTATTGAGAGACTAGCCCATTTAATTCAGCTAGCTGTGGACTCTAAGGCATGGAAGCCTGTTTTCCTGAATAAGAGGGCTCCTCCTTTGTCCCATTTGTTTTTTGCAGATGACATCATATTATGTGCAGAGGCTTCGGTGGAACAGGCTTTTATAATCAATCAGGTGCTGAAAATTTTCTCTGCTGCATCAAGGCAGAAAATCAGTGAAAATAAATCAAGAGTCATGTTTTCAAGAAATGTGGGTGTGACTAGAGCTAAGGAGATTGGTGAAAAGCTTGGAGTGGGGATTACTAATGACTTGGGCAAGTACCTGGGGGTTAATCTGAGTCATAAAAGGGCCTCTAGGATCTCTCTCATCAATGTAATGGAAATGGTGTACAGCAGGTTGTCATCTTGGAACCACTCTCCTCTCTCTTTGGCTGGTAGAATTACATTGGAAAAATCTGTCTTGGAGGCCCTCCCTGCTTATACAATGCAATCCACCATCATCCTTGTGAATGTGTGTAATGAAGTGGAAAAGGTGACTAGAAAGTTTATTTGGGGATCAAATTCTGAAAAAAAGAAGATGCATTTGGTTAGTTGGAGCAATGTGTGTAGGTCCAAGGAGGAAGGAGGAAGAAGGGCTAGGATTAAGAGATCAAAAAACTGTGAATAAAGTTTTCTCCATGAAAATTGGTTATGGAATGATGGCTAACAAAGATGCTTTATGGGCTAGAATCCTTCGTAGCAAATATATGGTGAGCAGTGATCTTGTGCCTGTTCTGAAGGAAAACAGGAATGGGTCCAGCACTTGGAAGGGAATTCACAAAAATTGGAGCTGTGTACAGAATGGGTTAGAGTATGTATTGGCAATGGGTGCAGTGCAAGGTTTTGGTGGGACAGTTGGGTTTCAGGTGTGGGAAGGCTGATTGATGGGGTGGTAAGTCCAGTTCCATAAGGTGACAAATAATGATTGGTGGTTGACTGTGTTAATAAAGAGGAAAACTGGCAATGTTCTAAATTTGAGCAATTTCTTGAAGAAGAGATCATCAGAATTATTAAAGATGTTCATCCTCCGACTATTGCTAATGGTCCTGACCTGGTTATGTGGAGCCACTCATCAACTGGTATGTTTACAGTCAAATCAGCTTATGATTTTTTATCCCCCCCTCTGATTAGAAATGTCTGTAATAAGTGGTATTTAGCTTGTGATTGGGAGGGACCCCAAAGGATCAAAGCCTTTCTCTGGTTATTGATTGGTGGGAAGTTACTCACTAATGATAGAAGAAACAGAATGAATCTTTGTGATGATGCCAAATGCAGTAGATGCAATGATCCTATGGAGGATTGTAATCATATATTCAGACAATGTGAGTGGGCCCAACAAATTTGGAGGATGTGCTGTAAAGGGAAAAATGTTAGATTCTCAAATACTGGTGGTTTTAAAGAATGGTTAGAAGAGAACCTAAGCAGGAGGAAAGCTAATTTAAAGTGGAGAAGATTTTTTGGGGTCATGTGCTGGTTAATTTGGCAGGAAAAGAACAGTTTTATTTTCAATGATTCTAGGAAACAGCCCATTGATATGGTTTATCAATCTTCGAAATTTGTTCTGGATGTTTTGGTGGCTGATGAATTGCTTTCGAAGGCTGGTCTCCTTCCTGAAAGGAGAAAATAGGTAAGTTTTTGGAAACCTCCTTCTCCTAACTGGATCAAAATCAATTCAGATGGAGCTTGCTGTAAGAAAAGAGGCTCATCTAGTTGTGGGGGTGTGGTTAGAGACTATGCTGGTCAATGGATTGCTGGGTTCTCAAAAAAGATTGGGTATGAGAATGTGTTGTTGGCTGAGGTTTGGGGTATGGTTATTGGATTGGAATGAGCTGGGTTTAGGGGTTACCATCAGGTGATTTTGGAGACAGATTCCATGGAAGCTTTGAGGATTGCCCAGGATGGTTGCCCTGAGTCCCATCCTTGTCATACCTTGATAGTCAGAATGAAGGAGGCTCTTGGGAGGACTTGGAAGGTGGAGTTATCCCATACTCTCAGAGAAGGAAATAAAGTTGCCGATTGTATGGCTGGGCATGCTTCTGCATTGGATTGGGAAATTGTTTGGCATAGTTTTCCTCCTGTTGGGTTTAGTAAGTTATTGTTGAACCCAGCCTGTGAGTAGTTTATTTGTCTTGTTATTTCTTACTTATACAAAAAAAATAATTTAATTAGTTTGATAGTAATGTTTCACTATATTCGCTTCACCCCTTGTTAACTTTTGCTTCCCACCAACAAAAATCATCATCTAAAAATATGAACCACACCCAAACACTCTAGTTATTAGAGTTTAAACTTTTAGAGAAAATTTGTTGAAAAAACTTTGATTTTGAGCAGGACAGAAGGTTGCTACTTGCTAGCACTCTCATGACGTCATGCATTGCTCATTGCTAGAGGCATTAGTTAGTGAATCGGTTTAATATACCGGTCTCTAGAGTTGTGCAACGGTTCAGAATGCCATTTTAAAAAGAGGAAAAAAAAATTAGGGGTAAAGTATTATCCAATATATAATAGAAAAGTTTGTGAGACACTCACGGGAGAAAAAAATATTATTTTCCCCTTTGTTGGAAATTTCTTTCATAAACTTAAACATAAATATATACTAAAGAATTTTTTTCTATATTTATGTCCGGCCCCAACAATAAGATTTATTTAAAACGTCAAAATCCATTCTTCATTAGTCAATTCTCATTATGTAATGAAAAGTTATGCGTGTGAATCAAATTTATTGTGGGGAAGAATAAATACACATTTGGCCACCTTTTTCTTTAAGCTAATCTTCTTTTGTAAAGGGACAAATCAGGCCAAACATTTTTTTACGGAAAAATATAAAAAAGAAGAAGTAAACTTTTAACCAAAAAAAAAAAAAGTAATTTGTTTTTAGAAGCTCATTGCGCTTCCGGTTTTCACTTTATAAATAAAAAAAAAAATCCACCTTTTCAGAACATTTAATATTTTTATTCTATTTATATTCTTAATTTAAATTTTAACTCTTGATTACTTTCAAATCTCTATCTCGACACTTCTCTTGTCCTCCTCCTTTCCCAGCAATAAAAAGCTCGAGCTTCGTCCATCATAAGTAGATTTCACACCTTACTCAAACTTAATTTCGTAACTAAGGTAGAGATTTTAAGTGCAAAACCTTGTTGTCTATCTTTTTTATCTCATATCTCTTAAAATTGTTGGCAAAAATATAAAAATAATAAGAAACGTTATTGATATGAATTACAATCAGATTATTAAAATTTAGTATGTTGATCAACAAGATATCTTATATTAAAAAAGAGATTAATGATTCTCTTGCAAAAGATAAATATCTCTTGCAAATATATGAAAATGGATAGGACCCCCCCGAGAAGAAGAGAGAATATAAAAAAGTGGGCTCCACCTACTCCGATATGTGTAGAAATACTAAACCCATCATATTTGTGAGCTCTTATTTTAGCTTATCTTTTTCTTATAAATAGAAGTTTAACCAAACATAATTTTACAAAAACTCTTATAATAAAAAAAAGTTTTTTTTTATAATAAAGAAAAAATAAAAAGTTAAAAGCTCTTAGACGAAGCTTTTCTTAAGATGTATATCAATTTATTTTTTTTGGGTTTTTATATTTACCCTTATTCTAAATTTTTATTTATAAATTTTATCATTTACCCTAACAACAAATCATTTCATCTTTCCTCTTCAACATCCTAAGAACAACTTTATAAAATTATCAAACAAATTTTAACTTTGTTTTTTAACTTTAGCTTCAAAAAAGCTTTTAGCTTAAAAAAATGTGTCAAACAGGCTCTAAAAACATTTAATTTTAATATAGTAAAATCTTTATGAAACTCAATTAGTATATAAACAAACTGATTTTTATTTCGAATATATTGATAAATATGTATTTGCCATTTTTAAAAAATTATCTTTTATTTTCTTAAAAATTATTTTTGTTTATTTGAAAAACAATTAGTAATATAAAGGTTTGTAATTATGTACCCTTTATGATAATTGTAATTAGAATTAAATTTATATAAATTATTTCCCCAAACATCTTATCTATAACTTGAGTTTTAAAATAATTTTAAAGCTAAAAAATTTATATAATCGCAAATAATTTTAGCTTTGTTGATTAAGCGTTTATTTTTAATTTTAATTTTTCAGCTTTAAAAAACTAAACGAAACATATTCTAGGAGTGCTAAAGAATTAGGTTAACTACAAAAAAAAGAAAAAGTAGTTAGGTGTTTAATGAAGAGTTTGTTAACTTGTGCAAAACGTCACATCAAACAAAAAGTCAATAATGATTTAAGTGTAAATATCATTTTTGGTCCTTAACAAAATATACGGTATCGACTTTAGTTCCTTACAAAAAAAATTTGTCTCGAGGTCCCTAACAAATTCAAAGTGGACCCATTTAGTTGAAATCGTGGTCCCTCACAAATTCAAAAAAACCCACATTAGTATCTCAAAAGGACTAAAATAAGTCTACTTTGAATTTAATAAGAACCAATCGATTAATTTTTTTTATAAGGGACTAAAGTGAAAACCGTATTTTTTGTTTAAGAACAAAAAGAATATTTACTTATGATTTAAAATAGGCACCAAAGAGACTAGGTGCATAATACGTACGAAAAGTCAATGAACCAATCAATTAAGATCCATCAAAGCTTGATGAAGCTATTGCAAGTAGGTCAGAAGTATAGTTTAGCATTTTGAAAATAAAAAGGACCACACCGGCCTTTTAGCTTAAGCAAGTGCACTTGAAAATCGATAGACACATTTTGCTACAAATGAATTATTACAAGTTGACATCCGGAAATCATGAAGACAGAAATGGAAACATACCTCAGCGCGCACGGCCGTCCTATTATTTTAACACAACCTCATCAAAGAAATGGAAATATAACCCAGCACGCGTATTATTAAATACAAGAATACAACCATAAATTCCATGTATTAAAAATGGGGTTTGCGTTTGTCATTTAACATGACACAACAAACTTTTCTACAAACACAATTATGGGGCTCATATTTTTTAAAGAAAAAAGAAAAAGAAAAAGAAATTATGGCACGCAAAACGAATCTCTATAACATTATACTACTCAATCACTTTTTCTACAGCATAGCTCTTATAAAACCCATTAAAAATATAATATAAAATCTTTACTTAATATAGAATTAAGTTTCTGCAGTAGTTAATTCATGATATAATATTAATATTTTTTTAATTATAATATAAAATTATTTACAAACTGTTCACTTATCAATTGTTAAGGTAGTTCATGACCCATTCTCTTTTCTGTCCTTCAAACTTAGCGCCCTATTTATACACCTACGTTCAGCATGCAAACGCAAAACAGAGAAGTGAGAACAAAGCCATAGAAAAAAGAAAAAAAAAAACAACATAGAAACTCTATAGCCAAATTATACAACAATGGCATCAGCAAAAACTCTCACTTGCCTGGCTCATGAAAAGACCCTCCAGTCTAGATTCGTTAGGGACGAAGACGAGCGCCCAAAAGTTGCTTACAATGAGTTCAGCAACGAGATCCCAGTCATTTCACTCGCTGGAATCGACGAGGTCGATGGCCGCAGAGCAGAGATTTGCAACAAGATCGTCGAGGCTTGCGAGAATTGGGGTATCTTCCAGGTTGTTGATCATGGTGTGGACGCTAAACTCGTATCTGAAATGACCCGTTTGGGAAAAGAGTTCTTCGCTTTGCCCCCAGAAGAGAAGCTTCGATTTGACATGTCCGGTGGCAAAAAGGGTGGCTTCTTAGTCTCCAGCCATCTCCAAGTAATTACTCTTTTTCCCTACTTCCCTTTCCACACCATTTGATTAATGGTTTTCTTAATTATTTCAAACAATTAGCCCTAATGGAATAATGTGTAACTTGAACACGCACATTTCATACACATATTTTTGCCATAAATTATTATTTTACTTTTAAATTAACGAGTAAAAAACGCATTAAATAGAGGTTAAACCATTTAAGGATACGTTGAGGGAAAATGTTTAAGGATATACTTTGTGGATGTTAAGAACCTTGAGGTCATTTCATACACATATTTTTGCCATAAATTATTATTTTACTTTTAAATTAACGAGTAAAAAACGCATTAAATAGAGGTTAAACCATTTAAGGATACGTTGAGGGAAAATGTTTAAGGATATACTTTGTGGGTGTTAAGAATCTTGAGGTCACCATCACCACCCCAAAGTTAGCTCAAAGAGTAAGCGTGCTCAAGGTCTTATAAAGGCCATATTAATTGCCTATCTAATCAATGTGAGACTATATATCTCAACAGTGGATTAGTGAATTTGTTTTTAATTTTATTTCTTTTGGTACGTACAGGGAGAAACCGTGCAGGATTGGAGAGAGTTTGTGACATATTTTTCTTACCCAATTAGAAACAGAGATTATACAAGGTGGCCAGAAAAGCCTGAAGGGTGGATAGAGGTGACAAAGCAATACAGTGAGAAGTTGATGAGTTTGGCATGCAGGTTGTTGGAGGTGTTGTCAGAGGCAATGGGTTTAGAGAAAGAGGCTCTTACGAAAGCTTGCGTTGATATGGACCAGAAGGTTTTGGTTAATTTCTACCCAAAATGCCCTCAACCAGATCTCACACTTGGGCTTAGGCGACACACTGATCCCGGCACCATCACATTGCTCCTTCAAGATCAAGTGGGTGGACTTCAAGCTACAAAAGACAATGGTAAGACGTGGATAACGGTTCAGCCAGTCGAGGGTGCTTTTGTCGTCAATCTTGGAGATCATGGTCACGTAAGTATACAGCTTTTTTTTTCTTTGCATCTTTCGAGAAATTTTGTGTCAGGTAAATTATGTTCATTTTTTTTATAAAAGTTATTTTTGGTAGTACATTAGGATTTTTGGTGTGACGACAACATATCTTTTGGCTCAAAAGGAAACGAAAATTTTATAGAACGACACTAAAATCTGCAATATTATGTGGAATTGAATATCGATCAACATATATATAACACAAGCATAAAAATGAGAATAACAAAAACAAAGATGTTAAGGTGGATGTGTGATCATACAAAAATAGATAAAATAGAAAATGAAGATATTTGACCAAAGATAAAAATAGTACCAATAGTTAAAAAAATGAAAGA